AAAAAAAAAAAGCATAAAAAGAGGTATTGTCACCATGTAGTAGCCCACATTACTCCCACAGCACTGTTTTGACCACTCACGCTGACAAGTAAATGAATATATATTTACCTAATTAGCTCTTTTTTCAAACCTCTGTTATAAATAGATGCGTGACACTAATGTGTGTGTTTTTGTGTGTTGCCTGACTTTTTTTCTCCCCACCCACCGCTTCCCCTTTCTCTTCTTTACATTTTGGTCCTTCCTCTGTCCTCTGTTATCCCTCCTCCGCTTTGATTTTGCTACCCACAGGAACTTCCGGAAGCATCTTCGGATGGTGGGCAGCAGAAGGCTTAAAGCACAGAGTGAGTCAGATGTGTGTGGTTGATATGTTTGCTCAAATTGACTGTGATGTTCTTCACCCCGCCATCACAAGTGTTTTGTTTTCCTGTTTATTTTGGCGTGTTCTCGCCTGTGTGTGGCACCAAGCACTGCTGCTGCTTTGCTGGGATTTTTTTTTTTAAATCAGCATATTGTCTCTCTTTGAAGATTATATATTGATCAGTGTGTGTTTGATAAGTCAGCGATATGACTGTGCATGTGTATTTATGTGTGTGTGTGTGTGTCTCTGTGCACAGTACGTGCTTTCTAGTTGCAGCACTTTAAATGTTTGTTTTTTTGGTTGTTTTTGTCATAAAGCACAAACAAAAATAAATTACATACTTCTAAAAAGGCAAAAAATGAGGCAATGGGTTGCGGTGATTGAAAAGTGTGTGTTTTTCTTTTTAAAAATCGGGGCATCACTGAGACGGGTCTGTGAGACAAATGAGATCATAGAGTCCTGTGACTGCAACCTTTCAAGAAACTTGATAGATTGGATTGACTCATCCAGAGTTTTATTGTCTTTTATGATTTTAGAAAATATGGAAGTACAAAGAAAACACGTACAGTGTGCTCTGCTAAAAATGGTGATCTTTTTATTTCTGTCAGCACTCATAAATCCATGTGAACGTTCAAAATGAATACAGCCATCTTTCTTAAATGAAAATCAAAGAATCTTTAAAGTCTCTGTTGAAGCCATTACTAAAACCTAAACATGACACCATCTCCTGATTCTTTCACTGTAGAAATATATGACATCCCCAAATCTTGATGCTGATGTCTGTAAGGGAAAGTGATCTCACATTCCTACAGTACTGTGCAAAAGTCTTGAGCTATCCCTCATTTCTTTATATTTTGCTCAGAAAATAGGAAAAAGGCACAACGATTTATTGAAATATGTGCAAATATGTTTCCATTTATATATAAGGCAAAAACAGAGTATTTGGTGTGACCACCTTTATTCTTCAACACATAGTGAGCTGCTTAGGAAAACTTTCTTGTAATTTCTTTAAGTAGTCTTCAGGAATAGTTCTCCAGCTTTCGTAAAGGACATTCAAAGCTTTTCTTTGGATGTTGGTTTGCTTTTGTTCCATTCTCTATCAAGTTGATCCCACACTGCTTCAATAACGTTGACATCCGGGCTGATACTATTCCACTGTGTGTGTTTTTCTAACTAGTTATGCTTTTACCGCACTGGCAGTGTGTTTTAGATCGCTATCATGCTGAAAAATGAAGCTGTTGCCAGTGAGATGCTTCCCGGATTGTACTCCATGTTGGCTCAAAATCTGATCATCATACTTTTCGGTGTTCATAGCTCCATCAATTTTCCCCAACAACCCCTCACCTCCTTCACACAGATTGACAATGGAAGCAAAAAATAAATAAATGTAGGGTGGCTCAAGTTCTCTCTCTTCATGGACACATGAGCGTTTTGTTAGGGCCAAGCTAACCTGAGTATAGTTAGTTAACCTGTAGTTTGGTTCTGACTTAAAAAAAATACACAAAGCTGTATTTGTTGTGCTAAGAATATAGAATAGGACACGTTTAAATCATTACATTAAAAAATTTGAGCCTCTGAATTTCCTTATAAAAGAAAAGATGAAGACGTTGATGTGAGAAGCAACATGAACAAAGTCAGGATTAGGGATGGGTATCGTTTAGGTTTTATC